AAAAACTTTGCGTCTCACAGCTACGAAGCTGTTCAATCGGTTGCTCGACTTCGCCCAGCTCGCAAGAAGGGTTGGGAAGGAGACGAGTTGAAAAACTTTGCGTCTCACAGCTACGAAGCTGTTCAATCGGTTGCTCGACTTCGTCCAGCTCGCAAGAAGGGTTGGGTTAGGAGACGAGTTGAAAAACTTTGCGTCTCACAGCTACGAAGCTGTTCAATCGGTTGCTCGACTTCGCCCAGCTCGCAAGAAGGGTTGGGAAGGAGACGAGTTGAAATGGTTTGAGTCTTCTCGGCATCATCATCACCAACCTCCTCTTGCTCTGCCCCCTCAACCGCTTTGTTCCCGACCGGCTCCTCACACTCCTCGGCGTCAGAAGACCCCACATGATCCGCCCCATTTGGCCTGACTAGTTCGGTCAGACCAGCCAAAGGAGCGGGGAAAACCTCGAGCCGACCACCCAACCCAGCCTTGCGAATTGCTCTCGCCTCGAGGCCGACCCACCATGGGTGGTCCGCGGGGAGAGTCGAGTCGCTCCTATAGCCGTCGGGGTAAGGAAGGGTCTTCTTGACTGCTTCACGGTCGAGCTTACCCTCGCACTCAGTGTTCTCCACAGCCTTCTCCCACGCGTCGAATGTATAATTGAAGTACTAGAGAGTTGCAGGGCAGAGCTTGTCGACAAAGGCGGGGGAATTGCAGAAGAGATTCACAGCCTCTTGACGATAATGCTCGAGGAACACAGAACCCATGGGTGACTTAAGAAAGGTCCTGCGTCCCTCAAGGATCCCCGCCTCTCTCTCGACCATGGCATCATCAACCGCCTTCGCTAGGTCAGCTTGAAGCTGGTCGGCCTTGGAGAGGGCGGCGGCTTTCTCAGTCTTGAGTTTGGTAATCAGAGCATTGGCAGCCAGGAGGTCATCATCTTTCTTCTCGAGCTCGAGAAGCAGATCCTCATACTTCTTTTTGTAATCACGGACGTTGGAGTCGGGCGAGGCGGTGTCCTCAAGGAGAGAGGGCATAATAAAAGCCATGAACTGAAAAGAACCGCGAATGAGTAAAGTCAGAAGTGGTCAAAAACTGAAGTAGAAATAATCGGCTGAATACGAAGATAAGTTACCCGAGATAAACAAAGGAGCGCACGACTAGCACGGTCATAAGGATCACGGTCAGCGCGGGCCTTGTCGGCAGCAGGAATGATGGAGTCAAAATACTTAGCGATTTCGTGGGGATGAGGGTGATCCCAAAGTCGGGAGGGCCTCTCGAGGGTGACCGTCTCGAGCTGACCGGGAGGAGGAGTTTGCTCGATGGCCTTGCCCTTGCCTTTGGTTTTATGGCGCTTGAGCGAGCCAGGCACGAGAGTGACGTCACCCGCCTCTTGAGCCTGCTTCCGGGGAAGCGAGCCTGAAGCCTTCTTCTGACTCCCTGAAAGTGGGGGGACAACCTTCGACTTCTCGGCAGTAGTCGTCTCGACTGCCGCCTCTCTCACACCCGATCCCGAGCCGCTGTCGGGCTTCTTCGGAGGGGTAGTTTGAGCCGTGGACTTTCCATCGCCGTTCGACTTCTCAAACCGTGCAAGAACGGAATCTGTAGATAAGCATAAAATGTCAGACATGTCAGCACAGGCCCAAAATAGAGAGCATGAAAACCAGACTTACGAGGGTCGTGGAGACGAGGAAGATCCTCATCGACAATGAGGCCGACGTGACTAAGAAGGGATAACTCTTTGATCAACGGGCGAGCCATGTAGGTGTGTTTATTGAGCTCGACCAGCATCGACTCGAATTTGGGGCACTGGGGCCGTTTATTCTGTTTGACCTTGGAGGTAATCCAAGTGTTCGGATAAGAGTATTTACCGGAAGCAGGTCGAATGAAAACAAACTTCGACTTCCACTTAGTTACATTTGAAGAAAGATCGTCAAGAAAGGTAACGCCGGCACGACGACCCAAACAATGGGCGTCTTTTATGAATCGGTAGCTATAACATTGAAAAAGAAACTCCGGAGAAAAATATTTAAGTTTTATTCTAGAAACAACAATAAAAACAATCATGATGCGAATCGCATTTATGGGTACATCGTACAGATCACTAATAGCGCGAAGTTCGGGTTGAATAGGAAAACGAAGACCGAACAACACTTGGTCAATAAAGAAGGTATAAAAACCCGGTGGAGGATTAGCATAATCGTCAGTCGGTTTGGGAATGGCTAGTTCCCAGTCGGCAGGAAGACCGCTGTACACTCTGAAGCCCTCGACCTCGGCTGCAGAGGCATAACAAAATGGATTTAAAACAGCTAACTTAGCTAAAGGACATGCTATTGAAACAACATCTCGAGCCTCGAGAAGAGGAACGATTATGGGTAAAGAAGAAGGACTTGTTCTATATACAGGAAAATCTAAGATCCTAAGGGGAATACCTCCGGGAATGAGGTCGAGACGAGGAGACTCTTTGGCTCGAGAAGATTCAGGATTTTCAGCCAATACCCCCGACATCCACGCTTGTCTGTAAGCGTCCTGGTCAATACCGAAAGAAGATACATCCGAATGGGAATTCGACGATTGTTCGGCTGGTTTGAAACCGACTATTTGTACAGAATCAGACGATTGGGGACCGGCGTCGATCAAGCGCTCAGTGGTATCGGGCGAAGAACCAGCGTCAGAATCTAGAAAAACGAGAAAGAAGAGTTGGGATCAGTTAAGGTGAATTTAGTGCGAGACGAGGAAGGGCATAATCAACAAAGAATAAATCGACTTATAATTACGGGACAATGGTGTCGAAACAAAGGAAGTCGTGACAGTACGTCACCCATCCTCATGACGAGAAGCGAACAGGGGAGAAGAAGGTCTAGAGGAACCAAACTCGAAATCAACCTAAGAAAGCGCGAGTCGACTTATAACCAGAAGTCGACGGGAGGCAATAGTGGAATAAGCAGGAAATCTAAAGGGAAATTCAAGCAAAGGAGATCTAACATAGCCCGTGTAGAGCCATTTGAAGAACACCAAGAACACAAGTTTTGAAACCCAGAAAAATCCAGAAAATATACAAAAAACAAAAAAAATAAAAGAAAAAAAGAAGAGCAGCAGAAGTTAAAGAAATTAGAGCACTTACACATGACTGTTGTTGGAAAAACTCTGAAGATCTGGAGTCGCCGAAGGGAGGGGAGCACCGGAAAGCAGAAAGCACAGAAAACACCGGAGAGATTTGAGAGAGCTCAGAAAGCAAGAGTGTGGAAAAGTGATATTTCGAAGAAATTAGAGATACTTATAATGAAGGTAATTGATTACCAACCGTTAGATCACGATCTGATCTAGTGGTCCCAAGTGAAGCGCGGTATACGAAGAGACGTAGATGAGGCGATGTGATAGGTACAGATTTGAATTTCAAAATTCGGAAAAAAAAGAGAGGGGTGTGTCAGGCTGTCAGAACTATCCAGAAGGCAATGATAAGATCTTACAATGGCAATATAGGGTCGCAAGGCAAGGACCTCGACATCAAGGAACGAATGACGAGAAAAGAAATCGATAACCAAATTTACTCTTAAGCAGTCGACTGCTTAGAGTAATTTCTGACTAGATGATATAGCCACATAAGGGTAACCCGGCTCATAGTCTCCTCACTCGACCGGTGAACCGCTCAAACGTCTCACGTGTCGACGTGACCCCGTCGACATGTTTAAATCGACTTCCCTAAAGTCGATCCTACCAAGAGCAATGGAGAAGAGGCAGAAATTGATCTAGTCGACTTCCACAAGTCGACTTCCGTCTATCGACTTTTACTAGTCGATATCAAGGGGAGAAGAACATCAGGAGCGTAACTCCCAAACATCAGATACTCTAGGTCGACTTCCCCTAGTCGACTCCACTATGACGACTCTCTGAAGATGACTTCACCACAGAGCTAAACCAGGTATAGCGTCCGAAACCGCACATATTCATAAGTCGACCTCCTAGTTCTCGAGGTCGACTCCGTACATCTCGAGGATCAAAGTGGTGAAGACGATTCACCACACTTGCAACATATCCGAAGCCCTACGTACTACAAAGGATAAGAAGGAATCTTGTGATGACTCAGCAACAAGGGGAGACGAATCGACCGGAATCTGAAAGCGAAGCGGTTAAACGAGGCTCGATGTAATTGACCTGCGTGGGGCATTTTGGACCTTCTAGGTCCATCGACTTGGGCATTCTGGGTACTTCAGGTAAATATTCACTCCTATATAAAGGAGGGGAGGTAACCCTGAACCCTAACTCTCATTCATTCCCACTCCCCCCCCAATAGCTGCAGCGCAGTATCTCTTCATCACTCTCATACTGACTTGAGCGTCGGAGGCTCTACGCCGGAAACACCTCTGGCGTTGAGTTTTTGCAGGAATCTCGCGGTCTAGCAACGATTGGGAAGCGGTTCAAGCAGATCTGAGCTCACAACAACTGGTTTACTCCAGATCAGGAAGTAGACCCATCAATGCTTATGCTCAAAATGATCTGGTGGAAAATTATTAGATCTTACGCCATTACTCCATGGTTTAATGAAAATTATTAGATTTCATGCTTACCATGGACTTGATATTTATTAATTAACTTTCAATTTGTTGTAAGCTCAAGCTTTTCAATTGTCAGTGAATTGGGGATGGTAAAATGACCTGGACCCGGCCCAAACTGGCCCGACCCGGAGCATTTGGGCCGGCCCAAACGTGCCCCGTTTTTTAAACGGGTCGAGCCTGGCCCGACCTGTAAACTAAGCAGGCCAGGTCCGGGTCCTTTTTCCCGGCCTACCCCGACCTGCCCCGACCCGCTCCGACCTGCCCCGATCTTATTTATTTATTTTTATATAAATTATATATATATATATAATATATATATAAGTGAAATTAGGAATTAGGTTTTGAGCTTTCTATCTTCTCCTCGCACGCACCTCGTTGAACTCAAATCACGCCGCTCTGCCTCTCTCACTCACTGACCCCGCCTCTTCTCTCCGTCTTCGGTCTCGACTCTCGGCATAAAGCATCATGCTCCGAAGTCCGAAGTCCGACACAAAACTCTGGTTGCCTCACCTCTTCTCCTCGCAATCTCGACTCTCACCTCCGAAGTTCGACACAAAACTCCAGTTGCCTCACCTCCGAAGTTCGACGCCTCGCCTCACCTCTGAGGCTTCGACACAAAGCCTCAAGCTCGATCTCTCCGGAATGCCTCAGAATGGTAATTAGTACATTTTTTTAATGTAACTTAAGTTGTTGCACCTTTGATGTGTATACCTTGGTATCGTGGGAGCCCTTCTCGTCCAGCAGTCTGCCTCTGCCAGCAACACTGCCGAGGCCGGTGGTGGAGAGACTTGTGGGGTTTGCCTGCGGTTGACATGGGCTGATGAGTGATGACGCTTTTGCTGCCCCTTAAAGTTTTTTTAGTTGTATATTGTTGGGATATTACTCGGTTTTAGGGATTGAATTATAGTGTGTCGCTTTAGTATTGTTGAAAGAGTTTTGCTTTCCCTTTTTTATAAGCATGAGCTACGTGTTGAGAGAGGTAATTTGCCCTGTTGAAATATAGGTGTGTTTGATTGAATTTTAGTTTCATGATGTTGAGTTTAATTTCCCTTAGTTTCATTTTTTATGCACCCCACACAAGCATGGAATATTGTGAATGGAGAGTTTGGGAAAATACATATTTTTCCGGGTATTTTATAGAAAAATCCTCAACCTAAAACCACTTTTGTGATTAGTCTCATGATAAATTGTTTTCTAGTCTACTCCTTAGTCAAAGAATAAGGATAAAATAATTGGTCCGCTCAAAATTAGAAATAATTGATTTCTATGATTGTGTTGAACTTGTGTTTGTGCGAATCACAACTTCTTCTCAAGTATCTTTTTTTTTTCTTCTGAGAAACATCACAAATTTCATGCAAGTTTTTTAACTTACAACACTCCTTATTATTAGTTCAATCTTAATTAATGTAATCATTTATTTTTTAATTCACGTACAGGAAGATGGATCATCGGCCTCTCATGCTCTTGTTGGGTCCCTCGGTATGCACTCTCCTACTCCCATTGCCATCGGGTCCCCTAGTATGCAATCTCCTACTCACGATGGGTCTCCTATTATGAATTCTCCTACCGTAGATGGAGATGAGCTCTATCGAGACTACTCCAGAAGAGTTAGATGACCAAAATGAAACCCCTGGAGCGGGAAAAAATACGAGCTCCTATTTGGGATGAGTACAAGAAGCTGAAGATGGTGGCAGGGAAATTAGAAGTTTAGTGCAAACACTGTAAGCGATATATGCTAGGTGATCCCAGTCAAGGTACGAGTCATTTGAGAAAACATTTTGCAAGATGTCGATCAAAAAAATTTACTGACACGAGATAGAGGATCTTGACAAGTAATTTTTCTAAGGACAAATTTGCGTTGTCGCCTTATAGTTTTGATCAAGAGATTTCCCGTAAAGAAATGGCAAAATGACCATTCAGCACAAGTATCCTCTTAAGATGGTTGAGCATGATGGATTTAAAAACTTTGCCAAGAGCTTGAATCCGTGCTTTAAAATGGTAACATGAAATACGATAAAGACAGATTGTCTCAAGATTTGTGAAAATTTGTGATGCATGTTTTAGAGCTTAATGAGAGTTGGGTTGCAATCACAACTGATATGTGGACATCTTCCCACCAGAAGAGAGGATTTATGGCTATCACAGCCCACTACGTTGACAATAACTGGAAGTTGCAATCTCGAATTATCAGGTATCTATAATAAATATTCTATTATGAATTCCTTGTTTAATATTTCACTATTTGAGATTATATACATGTTTTAATATATTAAATTCTTTCATGTCGTTACTAAAATAAATTCTTTTTCTTTTATTTTTCTTTTACCTTACAGGTTCATTTACGTGCCGAGCCCACATATTAGTGAAGTTCTATGTGAAGCTTTGATTGGATGCCTTCTTGATTGGAACATTGACGGTAAATTATCCACTATCACGGTGGATAATTGTACCACCTACGATAAGATGATGAATCTCATAATGGCAAAACTTCCATCAGACTTATTGGTGTGCGGCAGAAAATTAGTGCATATGAGATGCGCAGCTCATATCCTGAACTTGATGGTACAAGACGGATTGAAGGTCCTTGGAAATACAATGGAGAAAGTGAGAGAAAGTGTCGCTTATTGGACAGCAACTCCCAAAAGAATGGAGAAATTTGAGGAGACGGCTCGTCTGCTTCGCGTGACACTTGGTAAGAAGCTTACACTTGATTGCATAACTCGTTGGAACTACACCTATTTGATGTTACAAATTGCGTTGGATTACAAAGATGTGTTAGCTCGCTCAAGTGTCCGCGATTCAAAATATGATTCTTTCCCTAGTGAAAATGATTGGCACTTAGCAAAGGAAATTTGAGGGAGATTGAACTTATTTTATAAGGTGACTGAGTTGTTTTCTGGTATCGAATACCCAACTGCAAATTTGTATTTTCCAAAAATTTGTGAGATTAAGTTTGCTTTGAATGCTTGGGTTACTTGTGGTATCGATGTGGTTGAGTCAATGGTTAGGGAAATGTTGGCTAAATTTAATAATTATTGGTCCGTTGTGCTTGGTATCATGGGGGTGGCAACCGTGCTTGATCGTGTTATGTATGGTACTAGTGGTGAGTATGAGGTTGAGGAGATTTTTGATATGTGTCGTGAGTTGCTCCGTCAATATGAGGCTAAGGGGAAGGGTGGTGGACATGATGATACAAGTGGATTGGTTGATCCTAATATTTCTAATGATCCGTCACTAAGTGGATACGACTTGTATGCCTCTATGCGAAAAAGGAAATCTACAAAATCGGAGTTGGATACGTATTTGGAAGATGATGTTTTACCACGCACGTCTAACTTTGATGTTTTGAGTTGGTGGAAGTCTAATGCGACCAACTATCCAAATTTGCATCAAATTGCTCGTGATGTTTTAGCAATTCTCGTCTCTACAGTTGCTTCGGAGTCCACTTTTAGTACAAGTGGACGATTGATTAGCCCCCATCGTAGTAGACTTCATCTAAGACTATTGAGGCGTTGATGTGTGCACAAAATTGGATTTTAAGCGACCAAGGTAAGCATTTCTATTTATACATCAATTTAATTTGATATTTAAATTTTGATACATTAAGTTTCTTTTGACTACATATGTTAATTTTGTTTTTCTTTTTGTATAAATATAGGAAATGCATCAGTTGGGGAAATGCAACGGAGATTTTTGATTCGAATGATGAGGAGATTTGATTATGGGGTTTTGGTACCATATCGTTCTCTTTTACTTACTTTTTTTTATTGTGTGTGAATTATCATAACATGTGTTTGACATAAACTTTTTCTTTTTGATTTTTGTATGAAGGTGCATTGGGAAGATTTCATTATGGATTGGTTGATGTTGTTCGTCGACGGGTTTTGTTGGGTTTTTGGAAGTGATTGATGTTGAAAAACACAATGTGGTATTTCTAATTTTAATGGTTTGGGGGCCGTTTGACATGATTGGATCTTTGAATTTTGATTTTTGAATTGTAAGACTTATTATGTTATTTGTTGGATTGATGTATTTCGAATTTTATGATTGTTCTTGAGTGCTATTTAAGCTTGTAAAATTTTATTATTATCATTATTATTATTTTTACTTTTGTGCAATGTGTAATGTTTAAGGTGATGATTGAGGTAAATAAAAGGGATAAAAATTATGTAGGTAGCTACTGGGTCGGGTCGGGTCAGGTCGGGGCGGGTGGGTCAGACACGGGTCGCAGGTCGAGGCGGGTCGACCCGCCATGAAAGGGGTCAGGTCATGGGCACGGCCTGTTGGACCCGTCGCGGGTCGCGGGCCAGGTCGGGTCCATTGGGCAAAAATGCGGGCCAAGTCTGGGTCCGCAGGTACCCAGCCCGATCTGGCCCATTGCTATCCCTACAGTTGATGGAATAATCAGAGTTTGATGAAAAAACAACTTAATATTGCAAAGATGAACAAGTCTTTTATACTGTCACTACTCTTTAAAAAATTAGACTATAGCCCATCTCAGAACTTCATGTCTTGATTTTATTCATTAAATAGAATTATTTGTTTATAACAAATCATATTCGATGACCGGCAACAAATCCATGTGAAATGCTCATTATTGTATTCTGCACTATGTATGTTAGGTTTATTGTAGTAGGGTATGCCGAAAGTTTCATTATGTTGTTTTATATATATTCTTTGCATTCTAGTGTTGAGGATTAAGTACTTAAGGCCAAAGCCGGTGCTACCATAAGTGTTTTTTTTCCTCATTTGTTTTTTGATTAAAAAATATATACTAGGCAACGAGAGATCTAATGAAAGAAAATGATCAAAGTGCAGGATATCAAAGTTGGACTATTGAAGAGAGCAATAAACTTCTGAAACTTATGGTTGATGTTTCTAATCGTGGTTGACGTGATCACACTGGGAAAATAAATAAGATAACCGTCGAAAGACATATACTAAAACCTTTGAATGAAAAGTAAGGGATCGCCCGGACTTACAATCAATATATAAGTCGAGTGAAATATTTTAAAAAACAATACATCAAGTACAATGAGCTTATGCGGTATAACTCTGGCTTTGGATAGGATCCCGAAACAAAGTTCTTCACTGCAGATAATGAAATATGGGAAGATTACTTTAAGATTACACCCCCATTTCTTTTGCTTTTGCATCAATAATATATAATTCATACCTTAATAATTTAAATAAGAAGTTCAGTACAACTTACAATTATTGTTATTTTGTTCTTTGATTTACCAGTCCCATCGTAAAGATTTAAGCTTACGGACAGACCCTCATCTAGACTATGAAGATTTGAGAATTGCAGTTGCTAACAATACAACTAAAGAGACATACTCTATTGCAATAGGAGACGACACTATAGAAGAAAATAGAGAAAATGGGAGCTTGCTAGATGATTTCACATATGATCCCTCAAGTGATGCATTTATTCCATCAAGTACCCAAGATCCTTTTCCACCATCTCCCGAGAATTCTTTCATGCCAACTTCAACTCAACAACAATGCTTGGAGCCCCGTCCACCTACAAGAAAACGAGCTAAAACTGGTTCTCAAACTAAGGCTGCCTCATTTGATCCTAAAGATACCCAAGACCTCATAAAAAAGCTTACATCAAATGTGGAAAAGTTTACTCGTGCTATTGAATCAATTGACACAAAAGAGTACAACTGTTGGGATCTGATTAAGGAGATTCCAGGCTTAACTTCTGAGGATCGTTTCACAGTCTTGATTTGCTTAATACCAACGCAAAAAAGTCAGAGTTTTTTAACTGGATGAACGAGCTGAGTGGATAGCATTTAAGTTGAAATAATTTATATATAACAATATTACTATGAACTTCTAGGTCATTGTTCATTGTTTTGAGTATGCTGGACTTGGTTTTTTATTTTCATGGATTTTATGTTGTTTGAGTACTATGAACTATATGAATTTTCTGGCTTGTTTGATATTGGAATTATTTATCTTTGATTTGTGTATTATTTGAATTTTATTAATTTATATCGTTTCATCTTTTATTAATTATTATAGGTCATATAATGTTTGATACTAACTAGTACAAATCCCGTGCGATGCACGGGTAACAAATATGTATTAATATTAATAAATAAAAATCTATATAAATATAAAAATATTTGGCATTTACCTGAAATAGCAACTGAATTCCCGCCTAAATAATTCGCTTTACTTTTATTAGTAATTTTTTTGAAAATTTTTAAAAAATGGCGGTCAAATTTTGAAATTCAAATTAAAAAAATCTTTGTGATTAATGCACAGAATCAAGTTTGGTCAAATATTGCGCCTATTACCTTAGTTATATAGTTTAAATTTGGTATATAATATATGGATTGTTTAGTTGGTGAAAAAGGATCTTTTATCAGGGGAAGCTTATAGAGTTGTATTTGGTGATTTAGAAGAAACGCTGAAACGTTGTGTAGGCATTCAAAAATCTGTGAAGAGCAATCCAGGNAAAAGGTCCCTTTTCTTATTGTTTTTTTTTTCCGAAACGATAGATTATATTATAAATCAAAATGCACAAATGTGCGAATACACAGCAGCTAACGACTGAATATACAGCAGTCAACAACTGAAAAAGTGGGAGGACAGGTCAGAAGACCGCCTAGAGTCCCGCTAGCAACGCTAGAAGAAAACTCGCAACTAAAACTAACCAACTAAAACAACTAACAACAACTAAAAGGACCCCAACGGAGTAATACTCGAGTGTCGGATCTCATTGGGATAATAAGGTGACACTCGGGTTCACAGGGACCAACGGCCCAGACCAAAAACACAATCTAGAACGACACGAATACCGAAAACACAGACCAACAAAACTAACACAAAAGACATAAAGGAGGACAAGACCTCCCCCGCCAGATACATCTAGGTTTACGGTAGACAAACCAACTCCAAAGACAGCTCCAGAGCACAGAAACAACCGCCCGCCACTGCATAAGGCCTAGCAAGATGGGTACCCACACTCCAGGACCAACCGAAGAGCTGGCCCGCACTCCAATCGCGTGAAGAAACACGGCTCGGCTTCATCGAAACAGCCTGCTGGAAACAACAACCACTCAACCTAGCCCGAATCGGCTGAACACAACCAGGCAGCCGAGCACTAACCGGAATCAGCACCCTGACTCCAGTAGTCACTACAACCCCCAACCATGAACCCCATATCCATCTCGCCAAGAAGAAATGGGAGGTCCTTCCGATCGCGGACAAAAAGGAAGACCGAGACAAAAGCAGCAATATCGAGAGCAAACCTCCAAGTGACATAGTCGTGTGTCGAAATGGAAGATATCTCAGCAAATCGCCGCTTCGTCGGCGAAAAGGCGCGGTCCCGACCTGCGGCAAGAAGGGCGAGTAGATTGAAGAAGCAGCGTCCCAGCCAAAGCCGATTGCAGTCCATGAACCAGCACCGCACCCCGACCATCGCTGACGGAACCTGAGCTCCGGCGACCACCAAAGTCGGAGAAGACTCACCGTTAGCCGACGCGCGAAACACAGGGCAAGCGGCAGCAGAGGAGACGAGGACTGCACCCGGATGGCCGGCGAGGGAGATTCAATCGGCGAAATTTGATCGGCTAGGTTACAGAGAAAAGGGGATCGGCGACTTCTTTCTAGAGAGAGAAAAGTTTTATCCCCTTATCTTATTGTTGTTGTTGTGTAAAGTATTTTACTGATGATATTCACGTTGGAATGTTAATTTATTTATTATCCAATGGGATTCGACGACAGCCAAGATGTGGTTTTTCCCCCATTAAAATTTTGTTTCAGCTTTTGTAAATGGAATACATACAGTCAACTATATAGGCTTATGTAACTCTACTCATTTATAGGAGCATATGAACTTGAACCAAAGATCTCACAGCCTGCCCGACTCTTATATTTCTCAGCACGGGTTGTAAGGGATGGTGTGTCAATATTAGACTTTGATGGTTACTAGACAAACATTATCTTCTTTTATTTTTCTTTTGAGGTTTGTGAACTGGGTGAATCATTTACGAATTTTAGGAGTTTGGAACAAGAATGGCTATAGTTTAATTCATGGGTATAATAATGCAGAGCATGGTGGTCAAGAATTACTGACCATTTTCGAGTTTTAGGTCTGGTTCCTTCCCCGGCCCAAATCCCTGGGCCCTCCTCTTTCCTTGAAACGGGACCAGACAATGTGCTTGACTAATTGGAGCCAGGTTCACCTAAGCCCAATTCAGTGATTGTTGAGTCTTGCTCTTCTGATTCTGAACCAGACTCCCCAAACCACTCGCCCCCCTTTTCTGAATTTGAAGATGACTTTACTGTCGCCCCAAACATGCGTAAAAAACCAATCAATTCTGGCCCCTCACCCTCTGCCCTGCCCCATTCTCCCCAGATCTACACCAACTCTTCAGGAAGAAAACAGTGGATTAGGCGCAACACGAGGAATAAGAAAAAACCGGACCATTTTCGAGACTCGCTGATGAAGTGGTAACTTTAGTTGTTGTCTTCGTCAATTCTTAGTGGACTTATATAAACCTGTGTCTTTTGTAGCCCATTTAGGGCCGTGACTTTTGTAGCCCATTTTGGGCCGTGACTATATACAGGTTGGGGATCCAGCCTCAATCCCTCCCTGCTGGGTGTTTTTGTTAAAAAAAAAACCTTAGATCCAAAAAAAAGGAAAAAAAAAGAATTACTGATATGTTGGCTCTTATTTTTCTTGGAATATGAATCTAAAGAATTCACGTTCACTGTGGACTATTGATCTCTAATATCTATCCTCAAGATTTTTATTTTTTATTTTCTAAAATTGTTCTAGATTAAAAAAGTCAAAGTGACAATTAAATAAACTAAATTTCATTATTGATTGTCTCAACTATTGTTACCTTTTTT